CCTCCTCCGCACCATGCCTGGCTGCTGCCTACCTCCTCGCAAGTGGTTCTCAAGACGCTGGGCTGCAGAACTGCAGCATTTTAACTCTTTTAATGCCTTTTCCTAGTGCCCCGTCAGGTTCTTTATCTCCCTGTGCACCCACTGGTACCGGGGGAGAGGCATCTCTCAGGCTGGGGAAGGCAGCAACAAGCTGCCTTGCACCCATGGGCACCTTCACAAGCGCAGGTAGAACCTCCCCATGCCTGGGAGAAGCTGCCCAGACCCGCTCAGCTCTTGTCCCCAGGTTCTGTCTGGCCTCTGGGCCAAGTGACGCTTTCCAGGTCACAGGCACATCACTGGATCTGGGGGTGGCAGAGGGGGTCGCTTGGCGACAGGGAAGAGTGCGGACTTTTGGATGCCCACAGTCGAGTGGGGACATGCAAGTGGGAGATGCCTGCAGGGACCCTGTAGGACAGGAATAAGGAGAGATGGTGGAAATCAAGCACTTACCCATCTCTTTGGCTTGGGAGGAGGCCAAGACATTCATTTCCCCCCCACCAATGATTCTGGGAAGACTTTTGGCCACTCCTGCAAAGAGCGGCACAGGATGGGAGGTCCAGCCCGGGGCTGGCCCATGGTGTCTCCTGGGCACCGGTGGCGTGATGATGCTTTGGAAGAGGGAAGGGAAGAGCCGGTCTGAGCGGGGGCATTGCTCGCCGGGCCGGGGAGCTGCTCCGTTGCACAAGGCAGGAAGGGTGGTGTTCGGGTCCCGAGTGCTGGATCGGCCGGGGGAGGTCCCCAAGGCAGCAACGTGGCAGCCAGCAGCTCCACACGGCGAGTTTGGTGACATCTGGAGAGGCATAACATCACTGGGGATGTCCCTGCCCCATGTCCCTGCACCCTGTGATGGGGTGACAGGGCTGCAAGTCCCTAGGATGTCCCCACACTGCCACCCACTGGGATCCCTGCCTGTCCGTGGGAGCTGAGGGTGGCGTGTCAGGCCAACCTCTTGGACCCTGCTGGGACAGGATTAACTCCCCGCTCTTCTCCATCAGCAGCTTCCAGGGTTTCTCCTTGTCCTTCCCATGGCTTTGGGGTAGCCAAATGCATCAGGCCCATGGCCCCATCTCACCCAGTGAGACTGCCTGCCGAGGAGCTGGGATCCCTGCCTGTCCGTGGGAGCTGAGGGTGGCGTGTCAGGCCAACCTCTTGGACCCTGCTGGGACAGGATTAACTCCCCGCTCTTCTCCATCAGCAGCTTCCAGGGTTTCTCCTTGTCCTTCCCATGGCTTTGGGGTAGCCAAATGCATCAGGCCCATGGCCCCATCTCACCCAGTGAGACTGCCTGCCGAGGAGTCCTGGGAGAAGCAGGCAGGTCCAAGCAGACCAAGCCTCCATCCGGGAGCTCTCGTCTCAAAATAGGGTGCCCTGTCAGGCTGGGTCATCCAGGCAGACCCCAGTGCTGCGTGCTGACCCCGGTCGCCCCGGGTTTGCCTGCCTCTCTCCCCAGGAACCTCTCGCCCTTCACCCCCACCGTCTCCCGCAAGACTGGCTCCAGGGTCAGTAGGATGTTCTCAATGTCCCACAAATCCCCACCACCCAAGGTGCCTCAACCCAACCGCCTGGACGAGGTGTACGAAGCTCTCAAGAAGGGCCTGACGTAAGTTCTGGGGCTCGAGCCCCTGAGGGACACAGGGACAGCTAGCCGTAGGTTGGGACGGGGACACATGAGGTCTCCTGGGGGTCCCATATCCCACACAAAGGCACAAGTGGGGTTCCCTTGCCTGGGTGCTGGAGTGGGAAGTGGGGATGCAAGGCCAGATGTGCTGGGTTGGCGTGGTCTGCGGGTGGTAAGAGCCCCGGGCACGACGTCCCAGGTTGACCCCCACGGCGTGGTTGTCCCCAGAGCCTACCTGGAGGTGCACCAGCTGGAACTGGAGAAGCTCAGCACCCAGATCCGTGAGTCCAAGAGGAATTCGCGCCTGGTGAGTGTGGCTCGGGAAGAGCTTTCTGGGCAGACGGCTGGAGCCAGCTCGTGGTCCATCCGTGTCCCTGAGGGGCAGAACCTGCTTCTGTGGGGACTTCAGGAGAGAGCCTGGGCTCTGGTGTTGGGCTGCACGGAGCTCCTGTCCTACCCCCACGCACTCTCCAGCCCTGGCTGGGTGCTGCATGTCCTCACCAACATGCTACGGGTGGTGGGCGCGAGGTGCTGGGTTTCCTTGGGTGGGCAGAGCGGGCTTTGTGCTGCATCTTATCCCTCTCCTCTCTCCTCCAGGGCTTTCTCTACGATCTGGATAAGGTAAGCGGGATCAGTGCCCCGTTGCCCTTCCTAGCGCCTGGGATTCGCTGCTGCCAGCCCCTCTCTGCTTGCACCATCCCACTGCCTGTCCCCCTGTCCCTTGCGTGGGGTGGGATCGAGCAGGGGGTGAAAGAGAGACAGGCGGGGCCTTTTAAGCCACTTCTTGCAAACAAAAGCTGGTGTTGGTGAGCGCTGAGCTCGGCTGAGCTCTGAGCTGGGAGAAGGG